GGTCCACAGTTAGTGCCACTGTCCTGCCTCAGCTGCCGCTCTGAATAAGAAGATGGGAGCCCCCTGAGGGAAAAGTTGCTTTGGTGAGAGGAAGGAGGCCATCAGGCCTTCTCCAAACCAACCAACTCCAGCAGCCTCTGGCTCTTAAATAACAACCATCATCATCCAGAAATTTGAGGACTCAGCCCTGGTCAAGGTGGCAAAGGGCCTGTTGGTCTCCCCCCATTAGACAGGGGTCTTGTCTTGCTACCCTAATAATAAAGGGGTGACTGGGAAGGGGTGGGAGGGACATGGTGGGGTGGAGACTCCAGCCCCCCTTCTCCAGGCCTTACTGACACGGGCCTGCTTTTATTTATTTTTATATTTTTCCCCATGATGTTTTTTAAAAATCTCATAACTTCCTTTTCATAAATTTTATACTTTTCATAAAAATTTTCTACTTTTTATCCACAACCTTTCCACATTTTTTATCCCATAACTTTTTTATCCCATAACTTTTAACCCCATTTTTATAAGTTTGTGTTCTTTTAATAAACACACTTGCATAGTTATATTACAGTTTGTAAAGATAAAAAGATGATCTCATGCCAAGTGTGCCCAGCATTTACAGAGTCTCAATACCTTTAATACTGTAGTTGTCAAGATGCACAAAATTTTAAGGCAAAAACAGCACTTTGCAGCAATTGAATAATTTATTACATTACAGGAACATCACAGCAGCAGTCAATAATGCTTCTTTAGACAAAAGGCTCAGTATTTCCGTCTTACATTCTGTTCACAAGAGTTCATACATTGGTAAAAGTCATTCTTAGAAAATTTAGCAACTAAAGCTTTGGACTGGAATTGGCATTTCTTTCTCTACTTTTTTTTTTCCCCTGGTTTCTTTTAAACTGCAATATTCATATTTTAAAATGTTTTAAGTAATTTCAATACATTAAGATAGCAGTTACATGTTTTAATAGTTATTTTAAAATGACTCTTTAAGATAAAGTTTTGGAGAAGCTACATTATGGATAGGATAGGACAGATTTATATTTTCAAATTTTCTTAAAATCAGCTTTGGTTTCAGAACTGATTTTTATTCATTTCTGGAAAACTTATCAGGTTTAATAAAATCCTTTAAAAATGATTATCATATCTTGCACTCTTTAAATAGGTATGTTGATCCTTCCTACAGAAATTCAAATTTATTCAGTTGAACCCACATTTGAAAATTCTATGTATTTTTGTAATGGCCTCTGAACAGAGAGACGCAGCCATTGAGCAGGCCTCTGGTATAGCAAACATGGCACATTCAGGAGCTGCGAATATAGCTCTAGGTGAGCCCCTGAATCAGTTCATGGTAGATTATGCTAAATAGTGAGATGTTATTGGAGGTGTGGATGAGGACGTTTGTTGTTGTAATCCTTCTTTGCATCTTATTTTAAAGAATATATGAAACATTTTTCTCGTTGCCTTTTTAAAAATTTAAAATGGAGGGGAAGAATAGGGGCAGGACATTCTTATGTTACTTCTGACACTTCAGTGTTATAAATTCAACAAAGAGACTGACAACCTAAATCAATGGTGGAACACAATTCTATTCCTTTTTTTTTTTTTTTTAAATCTGTTCAATGAAAATTAGAAGGTACAACCCAAGTTTTGTACTCTGACTAGAGGGATTCCACTTCAAGGTCTGAAAGTAGGACTTTTACCTTAAAAACAACAAAAACAAACAAAAACTATCACACAGGATGGATAAGAAGATTGCTTAAACAGTTTTGTGTGGATCTCTTTGGTGCTGAACTATGGCATTATAGATTGTAAAATAGAGATAGTTGGAGCTAAAGTACAGAACTAAATTTTTTAAACTTTGTTTGCTGTTAAAGTCTGTGAAGTTTCAGTTATCTAAAATAAACATACACAAATATGAAAAAAATAAAATTCTATGTTTTTGATGAATGCTAACCTTCTTATGTTGCCTTCTAAGCAAACTGAAAGCTGCCTTCTACTGAATGAGGGAGAGAACAGATACTGGCTGAATGAAATACTGCAAAAGACTTGCATGAACTTTGGAGAAAGACTTAAGTCACTGTCATATGATTTCCATTCTTTTTAGCTTTTTCTTAAATAGGTGACAAAATACCTACACAGAGTGACATTTCAGTTAATATAGTAAATGTATTTTCCAGACTGACATTCAGCTTAAATACACCTGTATGTGATTTACTCCATAGGTACCTGATGAACACATTATTGTCAGATTGGGTACAGATGCTAAACACTATCTGAAGGTCATTCCTAGTCATTTATATTTCTTAGGGTAAAAGGGAAGTGATTTGAACTATCAAAAGACCTTCGAAATAATTTATCAATGTATTAGATAAACTCCATTTCAGAATGATCAAGAAAAAACGTTAGCCCAAATAATGTGGCTGATTAACAGAGGTACAATTTCTAGCCCGAGTGCTGAAAATGGACTTAGAGTGACTGTCTTTAAACTGAACTCACAGAATGCAAAAGCGGCAAGTTCAAAAATAAAACACAAGAACAGAACGTTAAGTCCATTTTAAACCCCCGGGCTAGAAATCGTACCACTGTTAGTCTGCCACATTATTTGGGCTAACGTTTTTTCTTGATCATTCTGAAACTGAGTTTATCTAATACATTGATAAATTATTTCAAAGGTCTTTTGATAGTTCAAATCACTTCATTTTTACCCTAAGAAATATAAATGACTAGGAATGACCTACAGATAGTGTCTAGCATCTGTA